GGCTGGCCAGTAAGGCTGGCTTATTGGCCCAGCCGATGTTTTGTTGCTGTACATATGTGCTTCGTTCCAGATATTTACATATGTGACCTATGTTTATACATGTGGCCGATGTTGTACCAGTGGCCAACGTCTTGCCGTGTAGATATGTTCTTCGTTCCAGTGGCCATTATTTTTGTGGCCCGATGTTGTACCAGTGGCCAAACGTCTGCAGTTTAGATGTTCTTCGTGCCAGTGGCCCGATGTCTCGTTCTGGAGCCAGATGTATGTTCCAGAGGACGGATATGTTGTCCTTGTGGCCGGGGAATCGCCCTGCCTTTTGTGTGTGACGAACTAGATCGTGTAGAACACTCGTGTAAATTCATGAAAGAATGTAATTGTGTTTGTATCAGGTTCTCAAGGAGGATATCTTGAATGCGAAATTCGGACATTGTCTCATTGAATTGTTTACATTGTATCTAAACATGTAAGTTTGATTTATTTGTCAATGTTTACTTGCATTAAGAATTCAAGAGATGTTTCTTTGAACATGAAAGACTGGCCAGGTCTTATGTGTATTGTTTCTTTTGTTTTTTGCTTTCAACATATATATATATATATATATATATATATATATATATATATATATATATATATATATATATATATATATATGACGTCACAAAGATAAATAAATGCATATTATGTGTGTTTACCATGTTTTATTTTTAGTTTGATATTGGTGTTGTTTAGATGTAAATTAGTTTCGCTCAGGTCTATTAGACCCCTTTGTCGCCACATAAAGGTGCACGGATTTGAGAGAATAATTACCATCTTACCATGTTCTCTCTTTTAATCAGTTAAAAAACAACCCCCACCTAACATATATATATATATATATATATATATATATATATATATATATATATATATATATATATATATATATATATATATATATATATATATATATATATATATAAACGTGTATACGTATCCTTGCGGTACCATAGAGAATTGCTGTTCATGTGTGACATATTCCATACAACTCGACTAGAGTATCTCTGTACACTGCAGTAAACAACCAGATACTTTTTAATCCTATCAAGGACACCACTGATTTTTTTTTTCAATTCTACCAAGGTTCTGTGCTCAAATATTTCTATAAATAATGAACAGCACTTAGCTACAGACTAGCACAAAAAAAGACGGTGAATCAAGATGAATAAACCAGATATAAGTGTACAATTAGTGACCTATTTGTACCATGCCGGATTGTGGGCGAGACTTTTTTTTCCTTCTGCTAAGGACAAAAATTCAGGCAAAAATAACCCAAATCTGTCCTGTGTCTTATGAATAATTTATATTTCTAGAAATAAGATTTGGCCAAACTGGCAGAAAAATCTGGCTAATAACCGCTCAAGTGTGACGCAGATTGATGCCAGTTTGTCCAGTGGCTCCGACAAGATGGCAGATACTGTGTGAAGTAGGGCTTGTTACACGCTCCACCAGGTGTAACAAGCCCATAGTTAATGTTACATGAGCATAGGTGTAACAAGCCCATAGTTAATGTAACATCAACTTAGGTGTAACAAGCCCACAGTTAATGTTACATCAACATAGGTGTGCCAAGCCCACATTTAATGTTACATCAGCATAAGTCTTATAAATCTCACATTTAATGTTACAAATAGATCGAAAGATCTCCAAAAAGCCTACTATCTATGTAACCCATTACGTCCAAACTTGTCTTTCGTTAAGGTCAGGTTAGACCTACTACAGACCTATTTAAGTGGAAGAGCTGGAGGGGTGGGGGCTGCTGAGTGATATGATGGTGTATGACGTTGGGGGGGGGCGGGAACGGGGAGTAGAAACATTGAGGGTAACATCAATCACATACATCACCAGACAAGTGTACAAAGATGGCTGCCATACATTTGTACACCTTCTGTGTACAAGCGAATCTATGGCACACTTAACATTTCTCTAATCTGCGTCAAAAAAAAGTACAAAGCTACGATAACTTTACATGCGAATCTATAGCACACTTAACATTTCCTAACCAGCGTCCAAAGAAGTACAAAGTTACGATTAACGCAGTCAAGATAACAATCTCCAACACAAAGATAAGACAGAAGTGATCCATGACTCATGGAGTGCACACTAAACTGCACAAAGTCAGCAGAACGTGTATGATGCTACGCATGCGCAGGAAGCTCTTTTTGAGTTAAGCCATCATAAATAATTTTCCCGATGATGTAAAATTTGAAATGACATTTAATTTGCTGATTCTAACCAAGAGTAGCACAGTGCATGTATTTAGATTCGTTGTGCTGTAATTATTGTCAGAAACAGAAATTTGTTTAAAACAGAACTTAAGAAATCTGTAAACTAAAACAAATGGTGGTATTGCCATATAGAAAGCAGAATGGTACTTCACATTTTCGCTCCTCGAAGAAACATCGTGAATTTTACGTGAAAAACATGGGATATCGCCATTTTGAATATTTAAATATTATGCCTATATTTTAAGTAACTAATAGTGCTTGTGTATATATATATATATATATATATATATATATATATATATATATATATATATATTACATACGAATTTATTACATATATAAATGGATGTGAGTGTTAATGTAAATTTTATATATATATATATATATATATATATATATATATATATATGACCTATATATATATGACCTATATATATGACCTATATATATATATATATATATATATATATATATATATATATATATATATATATATATATATATATATATAAGACCTATATATGAAAATATTATTGATTTATAGATTAATTTATACACTTTGTACAGTGTGCTACCAGTCATTAGGAAAGCACGGTACCTATAGTATATACCGATGTGAGTACAAGATATTACGCGTGATTTAATTGGCACGTGACCAATGTCAGGGTTACATAGTTCAAGGTCCCCGACCATTTTCTGAGGTCATTATTTCGTGGATTGGTGAATAATTCAGCCTAAGCAAACAAGGGCTAAAGGCCCATAACTCTTGTGAGAAAACCGGAAGAGTTACGCTAGCATCAGAGCTTGGATGGGGAGGATTAACATGGGAGACCTGATGAAGGAATTTGTCACTATAAATCTTGGAAGACTGCAGTAGAACAGTAGTAGCAGTCTTAAGGACTTTCCTTTTTAAATGCTTGTGAAATAACCTAGAAAATCGATAAAAATTGAACCAGTAACAGCTCATTTCTACCTGAACTAAAACGAACAGAACAAAAAACTCACGAAATATGTTTTGAAAATTAATTATACGAAAGAAAAATTAAGTCTCCGAAACAGAAGTTCAGAAATATATTTTGAAGGTGCGTTAGTGTTAAGGTTCGTGTTAGGGTTGATATTTAGGCTAGTGTTAATGTTATGGTTAGTGTTAGGGTTAGTGTTAGGGTTAATGTTAATGTTAGGGTTAGAACCAAACCAAGGCCGGCAAATCTTCCTGCAACTGGAGCACCATGAGTTAGCATAGAACTTGTCAGTGGTTCTTGATACGATACACTGGTACCAACAGGTCGATCCTGACAGAGCCCGGGGGTGGGGGAGATTTAAGTACCAATAATACAATTTTTAATAACTCCAGTTCCCGCCCTGGGTGGAGTAATGTTATTGACACTGGGGCGGGGGTGGGGGTGAGTGGAGTAATGTTATTGACACTGGGGGTGGGGGTGGGGGGTGAGTGGAGTAAGATGCCAGAAATATGGTCCTATAAGCAAACAACTTGGTTGGCCTCCTGTCAACTTGTCGCTTTATTTTGACACTCTGGCTCGTAAGAAATAAGTAGAAAAACCTAACCAAAAACATACTACATTTAGTTTAACATGTATGTTGAACCTTATCAAACATGCGTGAAGTCTAGTCTTCAAATACATTTTTCTGTGTTAGTGTAAAATAATTTTTAAAATTGTATTCATGAACCGATATAAGTTAGTAATAGCTTGGGAACATTTTAATCTGTATGTTAACATTGTGTCTATCTATTTGTTGAACTGTGTCACGTGGTTTAGGGGGTGGGGTGGCACAGGAAGGTGTGGTTGGGTGGGAGTGCTACCCCGAAAGTTCCGAGTTCGAACCTCAGGGCAGATAGGACTCGTTAGCTGGGGACAGCAAACCATTCAGTAGACAAAATTCTGTACTCAAACAACTGCAGTCTAGTGAGTGTTCTTTGTTGTACTAAGGCTTGGGAAGCAGGCTGCCCAGTAAGACATGAACTAACTCAGAGTCAAGGAGCCATCTGACTCAGAGTCAATGAGCCATCTGGCTCATTACAAGTTGACATGCAATACTTAATTATGTTGGAGGAAATCTCCTTCCAATGTTATAATTAAGAACGTAGAAGAAATGGACATTCTAAGAATAGCGAATCTTCTTGCTTAAATGTTCTTATTTTGGGACATCTTGCCAAATGTTACATTTCGCAATCCTTAAAAGCCCGAGGAAAAATATCTCAAAGTTTCAGTAGTGTAGTCCTATAAGCATGCTTGAGTGCTAGCCGACTGGCTACCCAATGGTGAGATGAGAGTTCGCTAATACTGGCTACCTACCGGGGATACGACATGTGTGGTAGCCTGCACTGGCTACCCAACTGAGAGATGAGAGTTCGCTAATACTGGCTACCTACCAGGCACTATAGTTCGCTACCAGCATACATGTGTGGTAGCCTACACTGGCTACCCAGTGGTGACGCAACATCTCGCTTACACTGTGTTGTGGGGCAAGGTGATTATCTAAACTGGCGGCTTCTTTCAAAACACATTTTCAAATTGCCATAAGCCGCTCAGGTAAATTCTTATCAACATTCACAAATGACAAAACTAAGTAAAACATTCACCTTTTGTGAGCATCGTTCTGAACATAACTTTTAACCTCCCCCCCCCCCCCCCCCCCCCCACCTGCATGCATGTGTATTTTCATGTCTTTTGTCACGTTTACCTGCGTGTCGTGAGTTAACGAACGAGTACTCACCTGTCTATAGCGATGGCCATAAAGGTAAGCACGCTGACCGAGATGGTGCAGGTGGCGATGAAGAAGGCGAACTTGCAGTACTCCAGGCCAAAGAACCAGTCCTGGTACAGGTTGAAGGTGAAGTGGAACAGCACGTTGAAGATGGAGATGAGTACATCAGCGATAGCCAGGTTGACCAGGAAGTAGTTGGTCACGGTTCGCATCCTCTTGTGGGCGAGGACGATCCAGATCACGACGATGTTCCCGCCGGCGGCGACGATGAAAATGGCGACGAACATGTTGTAGAAGATGGCCTGCTGCCACCAGGGCAGGATGTAGTCGTTGCCTTCCAGCGTGGCGTTGCTGATGTTGGTGGTGCCGTCGATGGCGCTGTCGTTGCTGCCGATGAGGTCCATGGTGGCGCCGAGAGCCGTTGTAGCTGGGGCCGTGGTCATGTGACTAGAGTGACGTGGTTGCAGGGACCGAGGTCATGTGACTAGAGTGGCGTGGTTGCTGGGGTCGAGGTCATGTGACTAGAGTGACGTTGTTGCAGGGACCGAGATCATGTGACTTGACTCCTGGGTCATGTGACTAGTTCTTCATTGTACGACAAAACTGGTTTAAACAACTTCCGGTTAGAAAAAAGAACGTTGATAAAAGTTAAACCTCGCCGCCATTTTCGCTTACATCATCGGTCCAGTTTGTATGATCCTCGTTAAAGATGGCGGGGACGGTTGATGCGATGAATCATCTCCATGTAATGAGTCTCATTTTCCCGCGACAACTGGGCATTTCGCTGTGAATCTGACGCGTTGATGTGAGATTTGATTGGCCTGAAATATAGCAGAATTGGCTACAGTACAAATGTCCATTACAAAAGATAAATTAAGTTCTTTATTAGGACTTCAAGCAAACGAATTTCTATTTTTATTGCTGTAGTGTTGTGACTAAATTAGTCGTATAGCTGTAACAGTGTAACTAGATCACTCACATAGATGTGATCAGATGACTAAATCAGTCCGAATGTGACTAAACCATGCATAAAGATGTAAGCAAATGACTAAATCAGTCAGATGTGTGAGAAGGTAACTAAATCAGTCATATAATTGTAAGCATTTCTAGAGCCATTAAAGATCACTAACGTCATGACTGCTGATATTTACTAAAAAGTCAACTTCTTTTTAATAGAGTTTTGTACAAACAGCTACAATAATTTTAATCTTACTAAAACATTCTCTCTGTTTTATAAAACTATGGCCTTGAAAAACATGTGTTCTTTCAAATAAGCCAATCTAAAACGCTTTCTTTAAATTTTAGATGTAATTGTCAAAATTGAACTGACGCATTTCAACAAATTTCATCAGTAAAAAATTCAGAATTAAAAAAAAATCTTATTTCCTCAAAGAGCGCGTTAAATCGTTATTCGATACTGCGCGATTCACGCAAGAAACACGACTACTCTGCTGGGTGTGGTGATTACAACATTTAAAAAAATTAATTACTGCCATTATCTTAATTATCTGGGTGGTCGAACTTTGGAATAATTTTAGATTGAGGCTGGCATTGTTTCAGCTTTTGGCGTGCGTGACAATGTAGTTGTTATGAATGGTTGACTGAAGCATGGGTTGGTGCATGATGGCCACTTGGAGACCGTAGGTAATGGCCAAATGTGAGTGCATGTCGGCCTTAGAAAACTTCCATTAACTAAAACAATGACTAAAACAATAACTAATATATATATATATATATATATATATATATATATATATATATATATATATATATATATATATATATGTATATATATATATATATATATATATATATATATATATATATATATATATATATATATATATATATATATATATATATATATACATATATATGAAGAGTTGATTTTCAAAACGCGATAAGCGCCATTTTTGAAAAAAATGAGATAGCGTGCCCAAACTTAATTTTAATCTTCACGGCGCAAAATTTTCATTTTATTTCTATTTTGCAGCTTAACAAAAGCTGGATATACCTCATTTTGCAACGAAACGCAAATTTTGGGACAAAAAAAAAGTATCTTTTTATGCAAGTACATTTCAAAAACCATTCTAGTCCTATTTATATGAGGGTTATGAACCTAAATTGACAAACAGTTTTAGCATATTGTACAATGGCTTCGTGTAGGAGAAAAGTGCGATTTTCTCGAAACCCAAATTTTGGATATATTGCATTTTGAAAATCAACTCTTCATATATATATATATATATATATATATATATATATATATATATATATATATATATATATATATATATATATATATATATATATATATATATATAATATCGTCTACATGTCGACCTAATAGCACTAAAAGTGACCTAACAATATCGTCTAGATGTCTACAGGGTCTGTAAACAACCATTACCGTGGCTGGTTGTGACGTCACTGGCCACACTTTTCTCCCCCTACGAGCCATATGAGAACCGTGTTTGCCAGGATACGACTAGATCTACGTCTGGGATTAAAATGGGATTCCTGACATTTACTTGGTACCGACTTGCTGAAGATCTTTACTTTACAGCAACAGCTGGGCTGTATTTTACTGTGTCGACAGCCTTAGGGAGAAATAAAAACACTAGGAACATATTTAGTAAAGATACCTTCTTGGTTTGGATTTATGAGGACAAAACGTAAACCACCAATTACTCTGCAGCTAGTCCCAATGATATTGTGGGACGTTGATATTGCAGTGTGGATTTCTATTCTATAGATCAATATATATCAAAATGTTGATAGTTAATTGTGAAAAATATTCAATACGTTGGGGGGGGGGGGGGTGGGGGGTGGATTTTAGACACTAGTTAAAGAACTGCGAAAAGTTTTCCAAAGTTCAAGATTAAAAATCTATTTTGAAATGGTGGATATTTTTTCTAACCTTAAAATATTTTATAACAGAATAACCTTCATGTTTTTAAAATTAATTGTGGAAGAACAAATAAACTATAATACAAAATAAAATATTACGGGGAAAAAAGTATATTTATTTTCCTTAATTTTTTTGTAATAATGCCAATTTAATTTTGAAAAATGTACTACAACAATGTCGTTAATTTTAGATTACCCGATACAGATCCATTCAGTTCTTTGATCAACTTTTGCTGTGGCTACGTATTCTTGAGAACTCTGTAAGCTCTACAATCATTAATCAATGCATCCCGTCTCCTTTGTTTCATTTCTACTTTAATCTTGCTTTTAAAAATGTTATTTAATTGTAATTATAAAGCTACCCCGTGTTTAATTAGAATATAATATTGATGAACGCACAAGACATGTAGTTATCGTCCTTGTTTGTAAATAATATTTGTTGTGGTATAGTACGTCGTTATTTTGAATACAGTGCATTACGGATTGACAAAAAAAAAGCCTTCAACATAATTTTCCATTTTGCAATAAAGAATTCGACTTTTTAAATAAAATATAGTTTGCCTATTCTATTAAATATGGATTTCTTTTTTTTTAAGCAGATAATTTTCCTTTTAAATTTATTTTACAAGGCCGCAATAAAAATAACAAATTAGCTCCGACATGAAAAACGCATTTGTCTGACCAGTGGTGACGCAATCCTCTATTAACTTCTGCGATTGATTTAGCAGACGATACAGCAACATAAGTGCTGTCCACGCGCGCACAAGCGGCGCGCGCCTCAAGACGATAGTTTGATTAATTTCATCCAAGGGCAAATAAACACTCGAGAATTATTAGAGTTGTGCCCCTTAACTTTATATCGTGTTTGTTGGGTCCGATTAATTTGATTAATCTTTTTGTTTGAAAGAAAACAGTTCCTTGCCCGAGGGGGTGCCGAGGGGTGTGCGCGGGGGTTGGGAGGTGTTTTTTTTTTAACTAAACCGGAAGTGGAGACGAATGTTGAGAACCGACGAGATTTAACGAGAACCACGGAACAGACGAGTGTTTCCTGGTCACCCCTGGGGAGAAGCAATTTAGATAGTAGCCTGTTAGTGATAATTAGCAGGGGTTAGGATACAGGGGGGTTTCAGATTTACAGACGTGGGTCTGGGCGAACAGGCAGGGGTCACGTGTACACAGAGGGGTCTCAAATGTACGGTGTTTACACACATATTTCCGATTTCTTAAAAAACGCATGTGAATTTATAAAGTAGGCCTACTGATAATATTCCGCACTATTATACACATTTTGTTTGGCGTTCACATGGTGCGCAATTTTTTTTCTACGCGACTATATTCTATTTTTAAAAGTTTAAGTAATTAAAAATGGATTAACCATAATGTCTATATCCCGAGTTGCCATCCCCCATAGAGTTATATAAGATAATTCGAGAAAGTTTAGGGGAGATCACTCCCGGTTTATTTATTTTTTTCACGATTACAATATTTCATCCATACTTCGTATACGAGAAAGTAAAAATATTATCATTTGTATCTTTTCAAAAAATGACATAATAAAACAACTGATAAAAGATGACGCGGCTTATAACCGGTAAGAAAAAACAGACGACCAAAATATTTTTGAAATGCGAAGACGAACTAATCAATTAAATGTATGTGATGGCGAGGAAATCTATGTTCTGGTAGGGAGTATTGTTTTAATTTGTGATAACGAATTTTCTTTTACAGAAACAGGTTACATAACCCTAGAGACACATTATAACTAGTTACCTCCCATAATAAAATTTAAAATAGTGTCAGGGGAGATAACATTAAATACAATTTTCGATTGATTATTAAAAGAATAAAATACTTACAATAATGATTAATACAGTTTTTTTTATTATTTTAATTATTTTAATTTTTTAATGGAAATTATCAATAATTGTATAAATACATTTTATGGCTTTTTAAGCTATTTATAATATGCAAAACTTCAAAAGTTTTATTTTGTTATAGAACCTATTAATACAAATAAGCTCATAATCTTCACACTGTTAACGTCATATTCTTCGGAAGTAGAATTTTTAGCTCCCTGAATCCCAGGGACATTTCACTTGTCAGCTCATACCCCTCAACCAACCACACACAAACGATCGCTGAATCACCATATACTATGGTAATTAATTAATTTTAAAATAAAATTTTAAATAGACGCCTTGTATTATGTACAAGTAACAAATCCTCACCAAAACACTGCGGTGAGTTCTGATACCAGTATCAGAAATCATTTGACGCGAAGAGAAAGAAAATACCAAGATTAACAACATAGGTTGAATACACTTATTGGATCTACTTCCTCCATTGCAGTGTGATTGTGGCAGCCATAAAACTAACGCTTAGCGTGTAGCTAGTCACCATAAAACTAACGCTAAGCGTGTAGGTAGACACTATAAAACTAACGCTTAGCGTGTAGCTAGTCACCATAAAACGAACACTAATCGTGTAGGTAGACACTATAAAACTAACGCTTAGCGTGTAGCTAGTCACCATAAAACTAACGCTAAGCG